GACGGAGGGGAGTGGTGCGGGACAGCGTGTCAGGTGCCGTGCCCCCGCAGCCTGTTCAGACGCCGTCTGTGTGCCAGGCGGCAAAATGCCAGCACACTCCGGGTTTTCTCAGTTTGGTCCGTTACTTGGCCCCGTGGCTTGGAGGGGCATGGAAGGGTAACCCTTCTCCTTGGCGTTAGTCACCGTCTGTGTTCTGAGAACAACCCGGGGATCAGCACTTTGCCCAGATTCAGTATTCGAGAGTTTAGTTGAAATCTTATGTATGCTTGGATTGCGTGTTTTTAATTTGCGCCAACATGTGCATTAATTCCAGCTTTCACCTCTTGCAGCGTTTGAAGCCTGGTGGAACGTTGCAATGGCGGCTCAGATGACTGATGCTCATCGACGGTTCCTGCAGGTCCTGATGTCTCGTGGGATAATGGAAGGATCAGAGACTAGGAAGTTACATCGGCGCTGTTGTGAAATCCATAAAGGTGTGTCTCTCTTTTGGAGAAAAAGTTGGGAGATGGAAGAACTTTTTTTTTTTTTACAAATAATTAGATTTCTGAAAAGCATACACCATCTTAAAAAAAAGTTAAATAACTTCAATGATGTGAGTGTTTTCCCTCTTTCCTGAAAGATAAAATAACTTAGCAATGAGGAAACTAAGTTTTAATCCGGTCAGACTGATACAGGCCACTTTTTATTTTAGCAAAGATGCTTTTTATAAGTTATATATTTAAAAGCATTGATTGTGCTGAAATTTCCAGAATGTTTCCCTTCATACTTACTTGGAAGGGTTTCCTTTGGGATATAATATGAAGTATATGCTGTAACCCATCTTGAGTAAATCTGTCACATCCGACTGATTACATGGTCAGCTGGTTAGTTTTAACGTGTGCTATACCAAGCTGAATTTTATGGCACCTGTAACAAAATTTTGGTTGTATACTATCAAATCTGTTTGAAGTTCATGTTCAAACTTACGTAGTACAGAAATGCGTAATCAACTCGGTAAGGATTTTTTTCAGAGGTCTGTATTTCATCTTCAGCAGTTTTGAAAATGTGGTGGGCACAAACCGAAATAAAGCTGTAATGAGTAACGTGTTTAGCGCTAATTAATCAGTAGGTATTAGATGTATCAGTTGCTGGTTCCCAGAAAATAGTGAAAGGATAAAATTCCTCTATTTTCATCTTTACCTTATTTATGAACAAAACTGAAAACGACAAGGAATGTGTAAGAACAAAAAGTGCCACTTAAAGACCCAAATGCTGTTCAAATTAGTGATTTTAAGCCATTACGGTTGAAAGGCAGCTAACTCCAGCAAGTGTTGCTTAAATTACACATTCTGAGATCTGCTATGCACTGAATATACGTTTCAAGTTATTTTCTAGTTCTCTAGTATTTATGACTCTAAAATTGAAAGACTTCTTCACAGTTGTTTGGGGGGTTTAGATGGTTTGGGGTATCTGTGTGAGTCTGTTGAGAGCAGAGCTGGTAACTGCAGGGAGCTGAACTCTTCAGTGGCTGGTGGCGAGCTGGGAGGGTAACTTCAGCATCGCCGTTGCTGACTGTTCTTTCTTTCTGTTAAGAGAGAACAGACTGTAGTCAACGATGTGCACAACCTGTGGCGAACTCCATCGTGCTTTGTTGCCACAAGTGGAGTCCTTTCTGGGCGACAGCAGGGTTTATGTATTTTCCGTAGTTTAAAGGTGTCAGACAGACTCCATAGGTTTTCAAGCTCTCCTGAGCCAAAAGAGCTTGTTTCAGCGCCTGCTCAGATTTCTGACTGAAAAAATGGAAGCATGGAAAAATAACGCTGCTTTTTACAGGCTTACTCCTGTGTTTGTGAGACCCAAGCCCCTGTGATTTGTAAAAGAATTTGTCACAAAGGCTGGAGATGGCCTAAGCCAATAGCACGGCCCTAATGAGTTTATTGTGTGTTAAGAACAAAGAACCTTAAGAAAAAAAAGCTTTACAGCTAGATCATGTTTTCACAGGATCAGCGAGCTGTACTGCAGTAAGAGCTGAGTGGGTTGTTATTCATTAGGAAGGTTTATTTAATAGAAGGATTTAGAAAAAAAATGGTTCCATTGCAACTGCTGCCTACCAAGTGCTTGGTATTTTTTCTGCATAGTGGCAATTCATGTGCAATGGAAAAGCTTGTGAAACTACACAGATACAATGTGGGGGTTTTAACTGTTACAGTTTTATTAAATGCTCTGCCTAGGAAAGCTTTTTGCCACGCTGGGAGGTAAAAGGATGTTGAACTTGACTCACTGAATGGAACGCTCCCCCCACATGTGTTTTATGAACAAAAGAACCAGCGGTTTGACAAACCCGTCCTTGTTAGGGACAAAGTTAACAGTATCCCAGTTTACAAGATCACGGTAATAACATTTTTACAAGGCAACTCAGTCTGACTGGCCAGTTTCTAGAAGTTCTGATTTTGATGTAGTTTCTTCAAGTACATCTTATTACTGCTTAGTGCAATCTGAACAATAATTTTCAAATCGGATTGCAGACAATGTTACTAAAACTAGCTTATGGGCATTAATTCCTGTCTCCTGCAGGCTGTAAGCACCATGTAACAAGGCTGTCTCCTATCTATGACGTTGGTTTCCTTAAATATAAAAGGATAAAAAAGCTGCATCAAATTAGGTCAAGTCATACAGTAATCAGCCTGTGCAGCCTCTGATCAAAGCAATTTGAAAACTTTCCCTCCTGGTGTTCGGCACATTCTCTTTTCTGGCTTATTTCAAAACTCTAAGCTTTTTGGCCCGGAGGCATGTTCTTATTTTTCGTGTATTGCTTGTGTGCTTCCTGCTAGCAGACCAGTGTCTATGCTAAAATCTGTGCACAGCTCTGAAGGAAAAGCTCCAAAAGTCTATCAAAGTGCTGCTCAGGACCACCAGAAAGTGTACAGTTCAGTTAGGATGCAAATTGCAGGCTTGTTGAGGAAGGTTCTTGTAATTGCTAATACCTTTTTACTGGAATCCCTTAATGCATGCTGTTTCTGTCTGCATTGTGTTACGGTTTCTCCAGTTATGAAACGCATGATAGTAAAAACTTCAGTGCGAAGTTAAAGACATCTTGCAGATCTCTAGCATTGTGTAACAGCCAAGGTACCACGACATTCTCGGCACCCTTTCTGAGGTGCCCCTGGGTGTTGTCTCTGGGTGCAAGATGGCTTTTCATTTGTTTGTGTAGTCCAGGAAATGGCAGTATCTGAGTTGGCTGTTGTTGGACCCCTTTACGAGATGCTGTCTGTGGGAGGAGAATATGTAGAATAGTATTCTGACCCTGACCCCAGCTTGAAAGTAGGAAACGGTAAAAATAGGAGGATTTGTAGTTACTTTTCCTGCTGTCTTCCAAGCCAGATGAAGTTCTTTAATAACAGAAGCTCTGGGTTTACACTACTCTAAATAGTATAGCTGGAAAGACGGTGCCTCTCCCCTGGAAAACGCGTTTCTCTCTATAATAGCATGACTTTTGGGTTTTTTTTACAGATCATGGAATAAATGTTGAGATTCATGTGCTCTCTATCTTTTGATAGATTTCCAAGTTAATCTATTTTTTCCTGGATTCAGCACATCCTAAGTTGATGGTATTTAAATATAACAATATTAGGCATTTTCATGACCAGCATTTTATTTTCCAAAGACATGGTCATTCAGAAGTGTTTTCTTTGCCACATTCTTCAAGGCCAGAAGGTTAACAGAAAACAGATATATTTTCATTTGCTATATTTTTATGAACCAAAGGATAATTTGGAGGGACAAAATCAGGTGGCCTTTCAAACCACAATGGCTGTATTTACTGAAGGACAATATTAGGCAATATTTGTAAAATTAATTGTAAAATGTAACAGTATATTAAGTACCAGTGACGTCATTAGAAAAGTGGCTGATACAGTCCCTGTGTGAAAGGATGTTTAGAAAAATGGAAGAATGAGAGAAAACTGCTTTTTTTCCTACCTGTTTGGATGTACAGGAGTGTATTGATTAACCATTCATTAATGTGGATTGAATCAGACTGGCTTTTGTCTAAGTATGTTTTGTATTTTAACTGTCTTGGTAGCTGAACTCAGAAGAAAACAACTGTTGGTGTCAACGTCAGTCTACAGTCGTACCAGTTCATTAAGCATAATACATTTCGTGCTGGGCTGTTGAAAGACCCACTAAATAAATTGTAGATGAGAAACAGGGATTCGTAGAACAGACAAGCATTCTTGTTTTGTATGTCTTTTAGTATTATACATGTTTTGTATGTCTTTTAGTATTTGGTATTCTAGGAAAAGCCCCAGCAGCTGCTCCTGTGTGTGACCCAGTGTGCTCATTATGCTTGTATCTCATCTGCAAAGTTCAGCTAGAGCTTAGGGGAATTTTTCTTGTCTGTGGTGGAATTTGCAGATAACCATCTGTTTTAGCAGAAAGCATTTGCCTTGCAAAATAACAGAAAAACCCACTGTACTCTTGTTTTGCTATTTTGCTTTATAGTGCATCAAATATGTCAAAACTAGAAAAAGAAAACATGGCTCTTGGCTCCTCAAACTAGGCATTTTTGTGTAGACAATGAAGAATATCACAAAGCACTGACAGAAAAGGGGCTGGGGAAGATCAGTAGGACTATAGACAGTGAGATCAGGCAATTCCTCAGCGGTACTTTGGCACAGTGCAGTGAATGCTTTGAAGTGAATGCACATCAGTTATTTGTCTTCCGTGTGGTGGGAGAAGTGAATGCTGAGGAAGTGTTTTGGTGAGGATGAGATGAGGTTTTCTGTGGATGGCTATACTTTCTCCCATCTCACCTCCATCACAGTCCCCATTACTTGTTCTGGAAGCCCATGTTCCTGCTGGGCTTAGCAGTGTTCTTGTATCTTGTCGCAAGGCCACCCACTCTACAGGGACTCTTCTGCTTTTACTGTGGGCTTGTATCTACTTCTCCATAGAATTTAAGGTCAGGACTAAGCAATCAATTTTTGTGTCCCATGTAACGCAGGCCATATTTTCTGCTGCATGTCAGGTGCCTTGTAGCTGGATTGAAACATAAAATGTAGAGAAGCTTATCAATTACTCATTTAGATGTTCTGGTAGTAAAGACTGACTATATCCCTTGGGTCAAAATTCAATACTCCCTGTGTGAAGAAGACTGAAAGAAGATGGATGTATCAGTCTCAAGTTGTACTGAACCAGCATTGTAACAGCGTAGGTGTTAGTCACCACTCAGGTAGCAGCTTAGTGGTTACGCTTTAAAACCGAAGCCTTGGCTACGAGTCCTTACTGAAGTTCATCAGAACCTCCCAAGGGTACCAGCATGGCGGTGGTGGTGAAAATCCATCTTGAGCATTTGAGTCACTGAGTATTTTCCCTCCCTAAACCCTTGGCAGGCTGATTGGTGGTGTTCTGCACTGGGTTGCAGAATGCTACTAGGTGCAGCAACTTGTTCTTCTTCCCGGTGATTCTGTTTTTCGTGGGAAGGCTGAAACACGTATTGTAGATGTATGTGTAGAAAGAGGTTTAATGTGAATGGTTTCATATGAGATGAAAATAATGTAAAGCAGGATAAATATAAAAAAATAAACAGTGAATGATGTAGTCTAGTCCATGGTTCAAATGTCATTAAGCTCTCTGAGGCAGGGATTGCCTGGTTTTATGTATTTATGTATAATACCTTGTGCTATTACAAGGAAGTGTTCTGGCTTGGTTTTGATGTTGTTAAACAGAAGGAAAAAGAAAAGGTATTGTACAACATATTGCTGCTTTTAGAGTCTCTTACCAGTAATGGTGCTGTTGCTTCAGTTTTTTCTAGCTATAATAAAGTCAGATGGCAGCATTTTCAAGTCCTGGTAGGGAGCTTCTTATTACGTCAATCATCGTAGTACTAGGAGAGTAACTGAAGGAAATGGGGACAAACCCCCAAATCACACCACATTTTCCTCAAAGAAATTAACTTTTCTTAATGTTTTATTCTTCTTTTATTCTTCTGTGAAATGAAAACTGAGTATCAGTGACTTAAAATCCAAATTTTTTTGTTTAATTCTGAAGTTTGCAAACTGATTAACTCTATGCCAAAAGCTGATGTATAGGTATTAGTTTTTTAAATATGGTTTGATCTTGAAAATCAGCTGTAAATATCAACACTGGTCATCAGTTACCTCTGCTCAGTGCCATTGAAGTAGAAGAAAAACATGACGTTTTTGTAATGCTGCTTTGCAGACTAGAATTGTACTTCATTTTCTGGTTCCAGAGAACATGGAGGCAGAGGTACGTAGATACGATTACTACGTGTTTAGGTTTTATATGAGTAAAGGTCCAGTCTCTTCTTTAGAAGCATTTACTCAGCTTATTTGTAGTCCTTTGCTGTAAACATAGGAGCTCTACTTTTGTAACGGTGACAGTATATTTTTAAGTTTATCACGAAGCTGTGGCATCTCAGACTAATCTAATAAAGATTCCTGTTGTTCGCCTGTCTTTAAGCAAGAAAGTTTAAAACAGTGCCTGTTGAAAAGTGGTGACTAACCAAGAGTGTGAGTGTGTTTGTTACGCTGCCTGCTGTTTAGAGTTGGCATACAGGCACATTCAGAAAAGTTTCTGGTTTCTCTGAGCACCTCTGCTTCTTCATCTTCGGTGAGGGATCTGTCCAGCTTTTCTGTGGAAAATACTTGAGTTTATTATCAAGAGTTTGTTTACATTTAGGGGAAAAAAAAAAAAAACCAACCAGAATATTTGTTGTTCCATGTATTTACTGTTTGCTGTTTCCTATTTGCTCATCTGCTCTCTGTCATTAAATGGAATAAAGTCTTCTAAAGAAAATGCTACCCGTCTTCTAGGGTAACACAGGATGAGCTCTTTTTCTAATGCTGTCATGTGTTGTCTTTAATAAATTTTTGTTTATTGATAGGAAGATTAATACCTGCTTCCTGCATATGCTTGGTTTTAAATGCTAGGAACAACTTTGTTGTGCTCATAATTTGTTACTGGAATAGCAATGTGCTTCAGGTTTTTTTTTTTGACTGAAAACAGATTACAGTAAGTACATCTGTGATACAGTACTAGTTGAGATTGCATTTTACGCCCTAGAGAAGGAAATAATTTATTACAAACAATAATTTACAGCAATTGTAACTAAGTCTTAGATTTTATTTTATTTTTTTAAGGTAGTGCATTTTACAGGGGAAGTTATTGGAAATTAAGACTTTTCAAACAGTTTAATCCAGTATTTTGGAAGTAGGGTAGTCCTGGCTCTAGTGTGCATCTAAAATACTTGTGTTACAAGGTCTTCTTAAATGCAGTCTTTTGAAGTGATACCTCTGAGATATTCTATCAGAAGGACAAAGAGATTCCTGTACACGTATAGTCAGAATGCAAAGACTGGGGATACTTACTGAATGAAGATCATACTAGTTTGTCTCACTTCTCGTCGAACCTGTCAACAGTAAATATTGTTTTCAGTAGTGATGTATCTGAGTAAACAGTTTCTATCCAGTCAGTTGCTATGGCTGCCTGTACAAGAACTGTTTCGCAGAGGTAAGTTATAAGCTTTTGCAAATAGTAATGGGCATTTATCATTTCTCCTGAGTCTGGAATTGTAAATTGACCAACTTTTTAAATGTTAAAATTGTTAAGTACAGCTTTTGGTGTGGTCTGTCCCACCAGAGTTTATATCCCTTTTTTTCACGGAAGATCCATTCGAGCAGCCGTTGATCTCGCATTAAAATGTTACAGCTGTTGTGCAGAAGAATATTCTCCTGTTCTCTTTCATCTTACCCTCTTTCAGAGCTGTCACTAACA